TAGTTCCAGCCCCCACTTCAGATGTCGTCCATCTGCAGTGTTGGATTCTAGTAACCACTTCAGCACAGAGTAGCGCGTATACACCACAACCGGGAATTCTTATCCATGGATCAGAGGTCTGAAGACTTCCAGAGTCCGTAAGATTGCGAGCACTTTCTTCTGAGCTATATGGTACCGTAGCTCTGATTCCTTCAACACTCTGCCTGTAAATCGTACTGGGTGTATGAGTCCTTCATGCTCCTGACCCCAAACAGCACACGCCGCCCATGAATTAGCATGCGGAATGATCACGAAAGGCTCGGCTCTATCTGGGTGCCGCAGCAGTGGGGCCGACACGATCTTGCGTTTCAGTATCTCGAAGGATTCCTTCGCTGCTTCTAGGTTCCGTCCAGCACGTACACGTTCTTCGTCCAGTTCGTAGAGTACAGCGGTAACTACGGGTAAGTCCTCAATAAACTTATTGCAGTAATTCAGACCTCCTAAGAAGGACTGTACCCCCTTGTACGTTGACGGGAAAGGTAAGTCCTCTATGCCTTTGACAATCTTCGGCAAGGCCCTGATTCCGTCCGCACTCACTTCATGAGAGAGGAATGGGATGGTCAACTTTCCAAATTCACTTTTCGGTAAGCTCACAGAGATATTCTAGTATCGTAATCTGTATAACAACGCGTCCAGGTCCTCACATAGTTGGTCCCAGGTCGACGCCCCATGAGCGATATCGTCATTATACGAACTTCTTCCCAAGACCGGACCCATTTGTGACGGAGCCGGGATATTGCGTCGAAATACGGTCATGTCCAATGATGGAATCTTTGAATCCCTCATATCCGCTTCAGGTTTCAGGGTTTCTTGAGGCTCGAGATCCAGGAACTCTAGAACTTCTGGGTTCACCATCGCTTCCTCTTCAGGAGGTAGACGAGCGAATCCCCACAGACAGTTATTGATGATGCTCTGATAAATTGACGGCGCATTCTTCAATCCAAAAGGCATTCTGAGCCATTGAAAGTGGCCAAATGGGCAGACAAACGCAGAGATCAACTTCGCACGTTCAGTCATTCGCACCGCCCATAATCCACTCGCCATGTCGAGACTCATAAACCACATCGCGGATTTGAGGTCTACCAGCAGGTCATCGATCACAGGTAGAGGATAGCGGGATAACTTGATGAGCAAATTCAGAAGTCGGTAGTCAATACACATCCGGATGTCCACGCCGTTTTTCTTCAGCACAATCACAATAGGTGATGACCACTCGAACTCTGAATGCTCAATGAGCTCCGCCTCCAACAACTTCTTCAAGAGTTCAAACACCTTCACCAAGAAAGGTGCGGCAATCTGTCTCGCACGTAAAGCCACTGGTTTCGCTTCACCGACGTCGATATCACATACTACGCCCCTAGATGGGGCCGGAGCTGCGTTGCCATCTCCCAAGAAGATGCTGCGATGGCGTTTCAGGATCCCTCTCATCTTGGCTTCCATCTCTGGAGTTGTGACCCCCGGAACTCCGACATTAGCTTCGTCGATGTTACATTCTGGGGTCAGTTCCTCAATTTCCGGGAGCATGATAAGTTGGTCTCGTAACTGCGCCATCAAATCACCTCCTTCCCTGAGCAGGTTTCAGATCCAGTTCTTCAGCAGAGACACGCATCACCCGAGCATATTCTGCTTCCAGCCTTTGGATCGGTGTCGAACAATTCGTCTGTGACTGGACATCCACTGACGGTTCTTCCGCCTGAACGCTATCCTCGGCATCTGCGACATTCTCTGGATCCAGAATCTTAATTTCTGGATCCGGGTCAGAATGGGTCTCTTCTGCCGGCTCAGGACGGCCCTCATGTTCCTCAGAGCCTCTCGCGACCGTGTTCATGACGACCGCCGAGTTCCCGATGATCTTGAGTGTCATGTCCAATGGTTTCGGCTTTTCCTGCAACTTCACCATCCTTACCTCAGCGGCTTGGGACTGTGGACGCATTTGGCCAGGCCACTGATATCTCTGGGTCTGGGTGCACGGAGACTCCCTCTTCCTCAAAATCTGCTATAATCGTTCAGCACGCATCCTTGCCTGGCGTGACACAGTACACTCGTGGATCAATTGTTGCCACTCTTCATACCGCGCTTTCCCCGGACGAACGAATCTGGGAACAATACGTGCAACCGCTGTCCTAGTATCGATCCACACATTCTGGTCTGAAACATTGACAACCTTGACGGCAGTCGCCCAGGATCTACCGGAATACAGGACTTTGGTCACCCAGTTTTTGCCTCTCTCAGCCCACACCAACTCACGTTGGGGGTTGGACTGGCCATACCGGATTCGTACAATAGTGTCCGGACCAGGACGCAGGTGTATGCTTTCCTCCGGGCACACAGGGAGGTCAATACCGCGGAACTTGGGATTGTCATCATACTTAACCACAGTCTCTTCATCTGGCAGCTTGACCAAGTCTTCTCGTATGCAGAGTTGGACACCTGCCGAATGCATAAAGTTCATGCCTAGCAGAACATCTACACCTTCTCCAATATTTCCAACCCAGATGTTCAGGACGTACACCACACTCCATCCGAGAGTTATCTTCACTCGGGCATGAGTAGTAATGTAAGTGGTCACTCCTCCTAAACCGGACACTTTGATTTGACGGTGTGTCCGGAGCTTGAGCTTGAGTCTACGCGCTAGATCAAGACTCATATTGCTCACGGACGCACCCGTGTCCAATAAAATTCTGGTTCTGGAGTCATTCACAGCTCCATGTATCGTTGCCAATCCATTCATGTCTCCATATTTGTGATCTTCCCACCATCCGTACCTGACCCGGTTTCAACGGGACTTCTAAGGGATCCTGAGATTCAGGCTCAGAGATCTCTGGAATCGGGTCATCTGAACGCTGGTACTCTGAGTACAATTGTTCAGGGTAGATGATTTCATCTTGAACTAAATTCATGCATTGTTGGTTATCTTGTAGTTGCGTCCTTCGTTCTGGTCCTATACAGACTAACACACACATTTCAGGGGGGTTCTTAAGCCAGTCGCGTACCGGATCCCTATCTGGCGGGCTTAGTGGTTTAACTGCTGTGCCCCTGAAGCGTGATCCTTGGTCTGAAGGAGGCTTCGAAATTGGGTTGGTAATTCACTTCCATTCCCTTGCTTCGCCAGTGTCATTACTGACCGGAAAGCCTTCCACTGTTCACACGATATTCCACCGTGAAAACATCCACATTCTACACAAGGGATTTTGGTACAGACTCTGGCCGGGTGTTCCTTGACTTGGTATCGTTCACATATCACTCCGGTCCAACAGTTGACTTCAGGGTGTCCCCACTTCTTACATTTCTCACAGAAGACATCCCAATTCTCTGGTCGCGCTACACCTTGACCCGGATGCGGGTTAGGTGACTTCCAGTGTTGGTTCTCTGCGACTCGAAATACTTCTCCATCGATTCCACTACTGGGAAACTCTGAGATCGACTTCGAGTGCGCCTCTGCTTGTTCTGCAAACACTTCAGGATTCTGAGACTCGTGTTGGAACTCCGAGTCCTGTGTTGGGTTCGGCATCGCCTTGAGTCACAAAAGCGCATCCCTGACGTCTAGTCGGTCCACGATTCTGAGTCCGGCCTTGGTGAACGTTGTCGGCACGGAAATCTCTGGGCTTCTTGGGAGCTGGAGAGTCATATCCTTCTTCACGCCACACGTCTTCATGGCGACGTAATGCTCGTTCCAAGTCCGTGATACCCTGAAACCTGTGACCATCGAGAGCTGTCTTCAATTGATCGTTTCGAAGTTTCTTAATGAACCTTCGAATGAGTGACTCACGTAGCTTAGAGCTCGACTTGATTTTGACCTCAGCCTTGACCGCAGCTGCACTCAGACGATAGAAGAACTGCAATGGGGTCTCGTGGTCGGTCATCTTC